GGGATCTCAGTGGCTGGATTCGAGCCTGGGCCACTAACACCATCCACAGGGCTCTTTGTGATGGACGAGGATGCCACACTCCAGGACCTGCCCCCGTTCTGTGAGTCGGACCCTGAGAGCACAGATGGTAAGTGTCCCAGGCTGTCCCCATGCCCAGGGCTGCTGGGATGAAGGCAGGGACAGAGGCTGAAGTCCACCCTCTCCCCCAGATGGCAGCCTGAGTGAGGAGACCCCTGCTGGCCCCCCAGCCTACTCAGTGCCCCCGGCCTCAGCCCTGCCCACACAGCAGTATGCCAAGTCCTTGCCCGTGTCCGTGCCCGTCTGGGCCTTCAAGGAGAAGAGGACAGAAGCACGATCGTCGGATGAGGAGAATGGGCCGGTGAGGGGCAGAGGGGAAAAGGGAAGGAGGGTGGAGGGAAAGACTCAGAGTCACTTCCTCCAGGAAGCCCTCAGGCATGGATGGCACATTTCATAGGATTGATCCTCCCCTCCACCTCATGAGGCAAGTTTTGGGGCCAGAGCCCTAAAATTTTTTAACTATTGCAGCCTTATAATGTACCCCAGTGCCTTGTAGGGAAAGTCTTTTCTGGTTTCTAGGAATAGCTTTATTTACAGAATACCTGCTCCAGGCAAGGTACCAGTACTTTGGTATCCCCTCCAGAAGGAGAAACTGAGGCTCAGAGGGGTCAGATCACCTATTATCCCCACCCTGCATATTTCTGGCTCCTCCTGGCATTTCCCTCTCCCCCACTTCCTCTGTTTCTCCCACACAGTTGTACACATGGTATCCCTGGGCTGGCCTGGGTGGACCCTCACCATCCATCCCGGAACTTCCCTGACACACGGGGAGTGTATGTGACTTCCTTGGGACCTCAACTTGTGAGGGACAGAGCTGGGATTGGAACCCAGCTTCCTTTTGGAAAGGAGTTACAGGCCACAAGGCAGGAGGCCCTGGGTCCCTTGGGCCCCCTCCCCGTGTGCCTCTCAGAGTCCTCGTTGACTCACTGGCAGCATCCATCCGCTGTTGCTGTCCTTGTTGCCACTGGTGGAAACCCAGTGAACTGACATTTGAGGCCTGAGGGTGGGGGTGCCGGGCTGGACTCCGGAGGGGCTCTCGTGCAGCTTCTGCCCGTGGCCTCTCCTGTTCTGCTGGAAGCCAGGCCCAGCTCGAGGGATCGGGCCATACGGGAGATTGCACTAGTTGCTGGGGGACAGGATGACAGGGCCCCTCCCAAGTGGAGGCCAACACGAAAAGGGGTCCTTTCCTTACAGCGCCAGCAACGTGATGGCTCAGGGCTCTTGAGCAGTCACTGGGCTGATGGTCTCAGGCTCTGTCATCATCCCTATGTTTTAAAGGGGAGAGAGAAGCCTAGGGAGATGAAATGCCCGTTGACAGCTTGTCGGTGGCGGAGGCCTGATTATTACATGACTCGATGCCAAGCCCACCCCAAATCCTTAGACATGACACTCTCTGGGTGCACACAGCCTTGATGGTCAGCAGACAAGCAGCACTTCCATTGTATAAGGAACTAGAACGGCGATGGGACAAGTAGTTCTTGCGCGTGGAGTCAGGCCAAGAAGGGGAGGAGGAGAGAGGCAGGAAGGCTTCTTGGAGGAGGTGGTGTTTGAGTTGGGTGGAAGGATCCCACATGGAGCAAGACTGGGGGGGGTGGGAAGGGCCTTCCTAACAGGCGAGAAGCGTTGGGCTGGGGCGTGGCGCCAAAGAGGCGGGGCCGCAGCGGGCGCTGACCCCACCCCCGTTCCGCAGCCCTCCTCGCCGGACCTGGACCGCATCGCGGCGAGCATGCGCGCGCTGGTGCTGCGGGAGGCCGAGGACACCCAGGTCTTCGGGGACCTGCCGCGGCCGCGGCTCAACACCAGCGACTTCCAGAAGCTGAAGCGGAAATACTGAGGCCCAAGCAAAGAGCTTCCCGGCCCAGCGTCCGCTCCGCTCCACACTACACCCCTGCCCCGCCCCCTGGGCCGGCCAATCCGAGTCAGACCTGGGACCGACCTTACAGGTCGCCCGGGCCCCGGGATTGCCCCCTCCCTGCCAATCCCCGCCATCCTTCCAGCCCGCGATCCCCTCACGCGCCGAGGAGCGGGACCTATCTAGTTTCTCGATTGGGTCTGTCGCCGCTTTCTCTGCCCTGCGACAGATTCTTTCGATGAAGGGATTACCTCGCTCCCTGATCGGGGCGGCCAGTTTTAAGCCCAAAAATGGGTCAACTGTTGTTTTTTGCCTAGCGACAAGGGCTTTGCTCGCGCGGCATTGGTCGAAAGCGAAAATCCAAGCCACAGGATTGGGAAGTAGCAAGCCATTTCGGCCTAGAGATGGGAAGCTCCTACATTTGATTGGCTCGAACCCAAAGGGCTTGACCAATCTCCCGGAGCCGCCATCCCACCCTTCCTGGGCTGTCCCGCCTGATTGGCTCCAGCGTCCTGAGGGCGTGGCCAAACCTTCCTCCTGTGCCCAGGATTGGCCTGCGGCCTTAAATTTACGTTCTTTACACTACTGGGACTGGGGTTGTTTTTTACCTAGTCCCGACCAAGTGTCCCTCTGCCCCCTCCCAGGGATGGCCCAATTCTGTCCCTGCGTCTGATACCCTCTCATTGGTTCCATCCCACAACAGCCTGCCAATCGAAGTCCGTCCTTGCAGCCCGGACGGCACCAGCTCCCGCCCCTCTCCCCCCACCCCCACAGGTGCCTTAAAGGGCCTTCGTCCGCCCAAGGTGGGGGGCAGGGGCCCTCGCTCTCCGGCCCTTGTGTGGGGGAGAGAGTCGGGGGTGGGGATTGGGAGTTGGGAGGGGTGGTCTGAGATTAAAGAATTTTACCTCTGGCAAATGAGTACAAAGTGTGTTGTGTTCATTCAACAAACATTTCCTGAAGCCGAATGAGCAGCATTTCATGGATTTTCAGTGCAAAGCTGGGAGTTTTTACAGATAAAAGAGAGATTCACAGGGTGGGAGTGGGGATTCCAGCCCTGTGTGACCATAGATCCCCACTCTTCAGGGAGATGAATGTTGGAATGTGAATAGTCTTTAAGGAATCAGTGTTCTGAGTCCACATAGACCCCAGCAAAACCAGGAACCTCCACTTGAGGCCGGGGGTTTTCCGCCTGACAGAGCTGAAATTGGCACCTGATCCCAAGTCTAGGCGGGGTCCAGTAAACCTGTAATTTCATCTCCCATCAGACCACCACCGGAGGAATGCGCAACAGATGAGACATAAACAGGACGAACTACCAGCCAAACAATTTTATAAAGTTATTAACATGTATTAACTCTTTTAATCTTCCTAGTAACCCCATGAATGGAAACGATTATCCCCACTTTACAGATGAGAAAATCGAAGTATTGAGGGTCAGGGCTGCTGTCGGGGGCGGAGATTTCTTGGACTGGCAATGATCATCAAATAGAAAAAAAGTTTCTCCCGCTATAACTAAGGGAATGAATGTTACAGAGTTCAACGTGGAAAGAAAATCTGCGAAAAGAAGACCCACACCCCCTACTGGCCCGAGCCGTCCATTGCTGCGGGAGAGATGAAGGTCAGAGCACCGGAGGACCAAAGGGGCCGTTCTGGAAAGGGGCGGGGCTCCTGTAATGGGAGGAGCCAAGGCCCTGCCCCCTTTCGTAGGACGAGTCATTTCCGTCCGCCGAGAAACAGAGAAGCCGGTGGAGTTGCGGGCAGAGCGCCTCGGGCTGGACTTCCCTGGTCGCAAGTGGCAGGTGAGCCCCGGTCCGGCATGGTGAGCGTGGGCCGAGCTGAGGGCGCGCGCGAGGTTCTTGGCTTTTGCCTTCGGACGTAGGGATCCGGGCTCGCAGCAGGACTGAGCGGGGCGTCGTCGCCTGGGAAACGGCGCGAGCCTGAGGCCGGCAAGAGGGTGGGATTTCCGGAGCCTTCAGCGGAAGAAGGGAAATTCCTGGTGGACGGGGAGGGAGGAGGAGGGACTTCCTGTGGCAATTTGAGGGCGTTCTGTCAATCAAACCTGTTTACCTACTTCCCCTTAGGCCGGCGCTAGGGATGGCCGAGGTGGAGCCCCAGGGCCGCCTGTGGCTGGAGAGCCCCCCTGGGAGTGCGCCCCCCATCTTCCTGCCCTCGGACGGGCAAGCCCTGGTCCTCGGCCGGGGACCCTTGACCCGGGTTACCGACCGGAAGTGCTCCAGAAACCAAGGTGGGCGGGGCCGGGGCTGCAGGGGGTGTGGTTCGCTGCTGGAGCGGGAACACAGTGCAGGAAAGCTGGACGGCCGGTCCAGTAAGGGAGATGTTTGGCCACCAGGCGGAATTACGTGGTGTAGCTAGTCCTGAAGTTGATAGGTGCCCTTTGGAGAGTATAGGAAGAGAAAGAGGCTGTGCCTGACCTGGAACTAGCCAGACGCCTTAGTGGGGAGAGGATAGAACCAATCCCTATAGAGGTGTCAGAGGAGGATGCTTACAGGTCACCGGGAAGGCTTGAGTCAGGTCACGACCCTTGACAAGGAGAGAGCCGATCCTATGGTGAGAAGTACTACGCAGGCCTAGGTGGTAACGGGGGAAGCCCAGGACCTGCACCTAAGCACACGGCTCATCAGGGAGAAGCCAATTCTTTACGGAAAAAATGCCCGCCCTGTCCCTAGGCGAGAACCCGCGTCACAGGCAGTCCTAAGGCCTTTATCTGATTCCTGCATATAAAGGAGAGAGCCGATCCCATTTAGAAATAAACTGCTTTCCCCTCCGGAATGGGTGCTATGGCCCCCATCCTGTGGTGTAAAGCTGGCCGTGCTCTCCAGTAATGAGGAAAACGATCACACAAGGATGCACATTCTGACTCCACCCTCTCAACCCTCAGTGGAGCTGGTCGCAGACCCTGGGACTAAGACCGTGGCAGTGAAACAGGTACCAGTTCCTCCGTGAGGCCTGGGGGTGGCGTTGGGCAAGAATAGCAACCCGGCCGGGAACAGGCCCATTGGAAAAAATCTGGTTTGGAGGGAAGGGGGTGTGGCCAATAGAGAAGCCTCGGCGTATTACCTTCTTCAGTTGGGGATCCATCCACATTTAAATTGGATAAGGCTGGCCGCCTGTAACATTTCCAGATTCCTGATTGGTGGTACACAGCGAAGAGGCGGGGCTTATGGATCTGACTGGCAGGTGGGGAAAAGAAGTCCCGTTTAATTAGAGGAGGTTCCTGGTGGGGGATGCAGTTAATGCCAGCTCGGCTCTCTCCCTTTGCAGCTGGGAATTAACCCCTCAACTGCTGGGACCCAGGAGCTGAGTCCGGGGGCAGAAGGCTCTCTGAGGGTGGGGGACACACTGTATTTGGTCAACGGCCTCCACCCGCTAACCCTGCGCTGGGAAGAGGCCCGCACGTCTGAATCCCAGCAAGACACTCCACCCGGCACCCCTCCGGTGGCTCCAGACGCTTCAGGGGACATTGAACCACCGAAGAAGAAGCGGATGCGGAAGTCATCCTCCGGCTGGGAGAATTTTGAGAAGCTGCTAGTGTTTACAGCACCTGGGGTGAAGCCCCGGGGCAAGGTGAGGGCCAAGCTGAAGGAGCCACGCAGGCGGGGGCTTGGCCCTAAGTTTGCTGTGTGCCCCTGGGCAGGTCATTCAACCTCTCTAGGCCTCCACTTTTTTTTTTTTTTTTTTTTTTTTTTTTTTTTGTCTGAGAAGTGGACCTGATGACAGTCAGGCGCTGGGGGCGTGGATGTATGTCAGCTCCGGCCTGACCCGCAGTAACCTCAGCAACGAGCCACAATCATGGTAGCAGGTGTAGCACATTGTAGCAGAGACCCGAGCTCACGTGTCCTTACTTCACGTGTCCTTAGCGCCACTAGTCTCCCCAGTAAAATGCTGAATCCATGCAAAGCACGAGGCACAGCCCCTGACACGCGGTTAGTACCCAAACAACCCCACTCCTGTTTTTATTTCCAGGGTTATTAGACTTCTGGCGTGAAGGCCAGGGGAGGAGGGTGGGCAGGATACGAACCCCCAAAAACAAAATTTTTAATGCTTATTTTTGAGCGACAGAGAGTGAGAGTGAGCAGGGGAGGGGCAGAGAGAGGCAGACAGAGGATCTGAAGCGGGCTCTACGCTGAGAGCCCGATGTGGGGCTTGAATCCACAAACCCTGAGATCATGACCTGAGTTGAAGTCGGGCGCTTAACCGACCGAACCACCCAGGTGCCCCGTGAAACCCATTTT